TGCTCCTTTTCCTGATTGCTTTGCTTCCATGAACTTCTGCCTGTCACTGTCTTTGAAGGACACACTCGGCTACTGGAGTAGCTTACCTCAAACTCCCAGAGAGATGGATGCCTGGGTTTTACCCTCTAGAGCGTATTTTTAGTGAACAATTAACTGACTTGTTCAGGAGTTTGAAAGCATAGTTTTCAACCGGCACTCCAGGGTATCCTGTAGGATTGGCTGAAGTTACTCTTCATGAGAATTTGCCAGAAATCAAGTGTGTTTCTCTTCTCCCCCTTCCTGCATGTTCCTTACTACTGTCTCCTGCAGGCATTTTTTAAAAAACAAATCACTTTCCCACAAATCTTTCCCCTCGGGTCTGGTCATGAGGAATCCCACCTAACACCATGTTTTCATATTTTAGAGTGGTAGATACACCTTTAATGTGAAGAAAGAATACAATGGGAATAGCAGCCATTGTGGCAAGGCCAAAGTCTAATGCAGCTTTTTGGTGGGTAGGTGGCATGAAGTACAAGATAAGAGGACTTGGAAAAATTCGGTAAACCCTCTAGGCAATTAACTATTTTATAATATGTTATATTATATATATAGTATGTTATATGTTAATATGTTATTCCTTAGTAAAGGAATCAGGTAAAAAGAGGAATCTAGCAATACCTTTATGTGGGTAGGTGGTGTGAAAAAAACACAAGCATGTATTTGGTTTTAAAGCCTGTCTAAGCAGGGTACACAGAAGGAAAAAGGATGATTTTACATTTAAAAAGTTCCATTTTAAGGTTCATTTTTGCAGATGTGCTTAAATCCCCTGTAGCCGTCACCAAAATGCCACCAATCCTTTTTATCCTGCACATGCTGACAGCTTATTTAAAATCATCATGCCCCCAAATGATACGGGTTTTGTCTTCAACCAGCTGGTTCAATTAGTCAAGATTCTGAAAAAGTTAACTGGAAAATTCTTTTATCCCCATTTGTTCAAGTCTGCCAAAAATTCTAAGTTAGGTGGGGATTCTGAGAGCAACAGATTTACCCAGCCCCAAGGCCTTAGGGTTATTACTTTTTGATGGCCTCCTGGAAGGCTGGAGGAGGCTGCCAACATGGTTTATCCACTGGACAATGCCAACACCAGGAGAAAATGGGGAGGAGAGTTTTCATTCTGTTAGGCTGTTTGGAATGAACAACCTGTTAAAGAGTGGTAATGGAAGAATACTTTCCACTGTTGCTCTGCCATGACACTCGCAAAGTCATGCAGTCATGTTGGCTTTGATTCTCTAGTATCTTGGTGCTACCTGGATGCCTTTACTTGAGTGATAAATGGAATTAGTTCCATGTTTCTTCCCTTGAAATTAGCATATTAATGTTGCAGATTGATAATTCTCGAAAGGTGGATGCTTGAGTACACAGGCAGTCTTCTTTAGGGCTCCCACGAACAGTCTCTTCTCCAGTGATCCTCACCATGTTCACACAAGTCACAGGATTTAAAATGTAAAAAGGCACCATCTAGTTTAACCTCCTCATTTCATCTGAGGAAAACTAGGACTTAAATTGATGCCATGATTTGATTCAAGGGAAGCCTGTGGGGGCCATAAATCAGAGGCTGAATATATAAAACAATTTTTTATTATACTCTCATATTTTAAGGAGGCAACATGATGGTGTGAGAAAAGGGAGAAGAATCTGTGGTTTTCAGTCAATAGACCTGGGTTCAAATCTTGATTTTCCTAGTTAAGTATTAGTTGGGTCAAAGTTCTTGAACATTGGTTTCTTCAGTTTTAAAAATTGAGATAGAAATAACTTCCTGCCGAGGTAATTAAAATTTAGAACAATCAGTAGAAAGGGCTTTCAGAGTTGGCCCATAGCAAGAGGTATACTACTGTTTGTTCTTTCTTTTTTCACCCCAGCTAATTAATGGCAACCCTGGTTAATGGCAAAACTGATCTCCAGTTCTTCTGATTTCTGGCTTAGTATTCTTTCTATCCCACCTTTACTGATTCCTTGATTCTTACATATACTGGAAAATTTTCTTTGTATGACTGGATTGATGAATAGCATTGTCTGATTGTAAACTTTTAAAAATTAGAACTATAAGATCAGCATTAAAAATTACTGCCAGTCGGGTTGGGAATTTAGCTCAGTGGCATCGTGCCTGCTTTGCAAGTGTGAGGTCTTAAGTTTGATCCCTGGTACAAAAAAAATTACTGCCATTCAACACTTACAGAATATAGTCAGATTTTCATGGAGAAAATGAGGAAATGGAGTGGTTTAGTTTAGATATAGAGTAACAAGAATGGTTTGTAATGGTAGAATTTATTATTGATTATTTAATACATTCAACATATATTTACTGAGCAGCTGCATTAATTGGGCACCAGAGGAGACTCAGGTGAATAGAGCAGATACGGTGCCCTATTCTCACCAACTTAGTGAGTGAAGTCGAGGAAGACCTGTTCTTTAAGAAGTAAACCCTGACTTGTCTATAGTCTTTTATGGTGAAAGATATGGCAAAATGTTGATTGAGTTAGAGGAAGCCCTAGTAATCAAAATATGAAACTCACAAGAGATAATAAAGGCTGAAAATATAGCTTTAGAAAAACTTAGGGAAATCCCTTGAAGGCAGATAATCAGTTATAAGAGGAAAAAAAGGAAGTTTTGGGGGTATTTCCAACATTTGAGGTTAGAAAAGATTCATTTCCACAAATTCTTTTGGCAACAGGGTAGAGTAATGCTAGCTTCCATTAATGAACACTCACTAAGCACCAGGTCATATGTTGAGTACTTTACATGCATTGTCTCAGTCTTCACAAAGTGGAAGGGTAGGTTTCAATATTATCCTCATTTTTAACAGATAAAAGAATTGAGATTGGGATGCTAGGAGAGGTTGCAAACAAACCAACCAACCAGGATCAATGACTAGGTCCAGATTCAGGCAGTCACACTTCCAGGGGCCAGAACATTATAGCATTTCCCAGCCCTGCTTTGGAGTGACACACAGCTGCAGGATTAGCTCTGTGGCTACAACTACGCACACTTTGACAATTGCTGAGTATCCCTGTAGCTGACTGTCTTTTTCTGTAGAGTAGGCTTTATCCTAGGGTTGTGTAAAGGATGATATGAAATAATATTAGTGAAAGTGTGTGACAAATCTGCCAGACAGGTAGGATGATCATCTGTCTTGGTTTTCTAGGGACTTTTCCATTTTTATCATTCTAAGTCTTGCAGCCTCAAATAACCTTCAGTTCTGGGCACCTTGAGACAGTTGGTCATCTCCATGCAAGTCCTGTTCCAACTAACAAAATATTTGAGCAAAATGTTAATAGATTTTGGAAAACAGGAAGCGGCTGCCGGAGGCAAACGAATTTCAGCTGGAGTTTGAGGCCGCTGTCAACTCTTGTGGGCTGAAAGGCATCAGGGAAAGTCTCCCTGATAATGGCTGTGAGAAAAATCGGGGAGTTAGAACAGAGTTTGGAAAACAGGATGCTTGCCAAGCTCTGGTACTAATGTTTTGTGTCTGTGGGCCTTTATACAGAGCCTCTTTAGAGGTGCTCAGAAAGAGGTTGGGGAAGAGTATTGAGTTCAAGGGCAGAAAGAGGGAGAGAGTCCGGTGGCAAACTTTTGACATCTTAATATACAGCTTTTCCTGTTTTCTTTTTTGTGGAACACATTTTGGTGGATTTGAATTTTCTACTGTCATTGACTGACTAACTAACTGCATGATATTTCTATTTCACTCCTTTAATCCATAGTCACTGCTTTCATAAAAAGAAGTGATAATCTTAATCTCCTGAAACATGGTTAGGATCAAAAAAGAAATTATATTGGCATGAAGGAAACATTCAATAATTGTTGGTTACTGTTATTACTGCTACCATACTATTGGTACTATTATTCATACTATTTTTATTAATTATTGTATTAGGATAGGGTTGCCTGATTTTGCAAGTAAAAATACAAGATGCCCAGTTAAATGTAAATTTCAGATAAACAATAAATATTGCTTAGGATATACATGCACTAAAATTTATTTATTGATTACTTGAAATTCAGATTTACCTTTCATTTTGCATTTTATCTGGCAACCATATGGTAGGGTAACTAATTGTTCTAATTATCCCAGGTCTGAAGGATCTCCCAGGACACAGGACTTTCAATCCAAAACTGGGACAGTCACAAGCAAATGGGCAAAATCGGTCACCCTGTTAAGGCAGCAGTCTAGTAGCTTTTTAGGAGATCACTTTTTTTTCCATTTAGTTTATTGGTACATTTTAGGTATACAATATAGTTATATTCATCATTGGGATCTTGTACCTTTACATGATGTATCTTGGTTCTTATTTTTTTCCCATTCCCCTGCCCTCCCTTCACCCCCTCCACCCTTCCCTATTTACAAAGACTTTGTTTCCATGTTTTTCCTTTTCTCATAAATGATAGTGATAGGAACTTTCTCCTAAACAGTCACATGCCCCATGGATGCAGTGTTTTGCATACATGAATTCAGTGCTTTGCTCTTTGAAGCCTATCCACAAATTCCTGGTTAAGAATATAGGCTCTGAAAAATCATTCGGGCCTGTCAATTGTGTAATCTGATGTGACAGGAGCAGTTACACAGTTAATGAAAAAAAAAAGGTTAAATCAGAACATCATAAAAAACACATTTATACAGTTTATTTTAACCTAAGACACATGAAGTATGTGTTCATTTACTCATCATTTGATGTCTGGTCAAGGTCTTTTTCTAGCTAAGTGTCTGTGATTGGAATACTTAATCTTTCTTATACTTGGCATTTCATGATGCATCATTATGTGTGAATTCTAGTTTTTATGTTATTTTTAAAATTGCAGCACTGATATAAAAGAAACTTGAGAAGCAATCTCAGTATAGAATCCTTCCAGAAGTTTACTGTTAACCCCTTATCTTTTATAGTGATCTTCTTTTGAGATCAAATCTGACAGTAATTTCTCTAAAAGTGTACCTTTATCAAGTATGTACAAAGAATTCAACTGAATTTTGATAGAAGTGACAGCTGGATTTTATGTTTATATTTTGTCTGTTTATAATGAGTTAAATTACATAACCATGATAGCAGTACAACTGCCACAAGCAAGGTTGGTGATAATCAGTGTTTGGGTATCTATAGCGTGGATTTATCCATTATGTGAGTAAGTAGAGGTCATTTAGTGTGGCTTCTAATGCAGCTTCCTGGAGAGCATGTGCTGTCTTCTCTCTGAAATCCTCAATGAAATTCTCATTCTTCACTTTTAGTTTTCTGAGTGGATTCTTTGGGGCAATCTGAGGAGGGGCCGAACTTCAGATCTGGATTCAGTGGGCAGCAGAGATGGTCCCCTGGACTTGGGAGCCTGAAAAGAGGTGGAGATATTGAATAAATTCTGAGAAATTACAGGAATCTTGGGGAGATGAAGGGCTTCTCCCCTATCACAAGAATTGGAACTTTGAGGCAATCCTACTTTGATTTCAAAGGCCAAAGAAGTCCCATATGACATTATTAAGAAATAAATGCATTCAAGGAGCTTATATGTTAATAAAAGAAATTCTCCTACAAGTTTTTATAGATGTGTACACATTCTGAGCAGATAAAATGGAGGTGACTTTCTAAGTGGCATGTTCTCTTGGCCATGGATTCTGTCCACAGGCCATCAGTTATTAGCCCCCGCTTGCCTTCTTTGCAGCCTCTGTAAGCCTGTGGCTTGACCTAGCCAAGGGGAGTGACCTAGCTGTGATGCATGCTGGTTTGGTGTGGGACTGCTTCTCTCAGTGAAGTCATGTCTTGTCATACTTATTGAACACCTTACGATTATAACTGAACCACAGTTATAGGTCTGCCCACTTCACATCAAACAGTAGTCACTTGTGAGTCTCATTCTTGGGAATATTAAAAGCTGGTAAAAATGCAGATTTGGTTGAAGTGGAGGAGAGGGGACTTCCTTAGACTCACAGTACTTTAGAAGGAATTACATTTTCAGATTAGTGAAAAGAAAGCAGAGCTTTGAATAAAGGGAACATCTTGCGGATTTAGAGTGGGGGCAGGAGTATTACTTTTTTTTTTGTGGTACCAGAGATTGAACTCAGGACTTTTCGCTTGCAAGTCAGGCAGTGGCACCACTGAGCTAAATCCCCAGCCCTAGGTGTATTACTTTTAAAGGATTGGAGTGCATGAAGTTATGTGAGAGAGAAAGTAGTTAACTTTGAGGACTTGGGCCTCAAAAGGACAGCATGGATTGTTAGATGCCTAGTTGGGAGGGTATGTTGTAAAATGTCAAAAAAGTGAGTAACAAAATGCTGGAAAAAAACCACCTTAGTCTTTATGTTTTTGTACAATGGCTCTGGCCCAACCATTTGCCTCCATTGACTGGCCTGATTTGGGTAATTTTTTCTTTGTGCTTAGCTTCTTCTTATTCTCTGTGACAGCTAATAACTGGTGTTACAAAATTCCTTTCTTATATACCTGATGTATATCCACTTCCATTTTCCTCGAACACAAGGAAGCTCTGGTTCTCCCATATGAGCACTGAAGGGCAAATCTATATTTATATTGGGTTGAGCAGAGTCTGGAATGACCACGTGCTGGCACTGTGTACTATGTTTTATTTGATGTATGTTCTACAGATGAAATCCTTGGGCAGATGTTGGTTTCATTATTCAGGTTCTGAATTCCCAGGGATCCTGGACTGTTTTCCATTAATAATAAGAATTACTATTTGAACAGCTAACCCCTAGTTGAATTCTTGCTATTAACAAGTATTAAACTAGACACTTTCTATGTATCACCTCATTGGATCTTCTCAATAAAACTATGAAGTAGGAACTGTTATTTTATGGAAATCGAGACTTCCTAAGGTTAATAATAATAAAAAAAGAAAGCTGATAAGAGCAGAGCCAGGATTTGGACTTGGTTCGTCTGATGTTAAAGCTAGTACATTTGATAACCATGTGAAAACATTGCCTTTTGAGCACCAAAAGAATTCTAAATTTGTATTCTTTGTCCTAGAGAGATCCCAAGGAATATCTGCAGACTTGCCTGAACTGAACTTGTATTGTCAGCTAAGAAGCAATCAATTGGGCTTCATCCAATATGTGAGGAAAGTAGGAATGGCTGCTCCATCTTGGAATTGCAGTGTCTAGGTCAAAGCAACAGACAGAAACTTCCAAATTTTCTGATGCTAAAAAGACACTAAATAGCCCAGGTCTTTTTAAGCCAAGCCTGTGGCAACCATAGGAACAATGCAAGGAGTGGTCATCTGAGAAAACCCACCCAGAAGTATGAGGGGAAACAGCAAAACTTACGGTAGAATTTTTTTCAGGGGCAAGCTTGTGACTTATTGAAATATTTTGAAATTGTAGTAGCTTTTAATCTCATGTACTTAAAAGAAAAATTATGCTCTTTTTCTCTCTAAAACAACCTAAGACCTCCTGTAACTACAGCTAGAAATTCAGTCTCTTTAGTGCTTGAGACCATCTCTTCCCCCATTGTCAGAAGGGCTAAGGGAGTCTGCAGGGAATTCAGGATAAGCCCAGGGCAGACTGCATGAGTGCACCTTGGTCACTGAGATACCCATTAACCCAGTCCATATGATGTGATTTCTGCTCTGTTGTTTTTGTTCCACAACTGAAACAAACAAAATCATTGTCAGCCAAATGTGGCCATGCATGCCTGGTAACCCTGGCACTCTGGGAGGCAGAGGCAGGAATATCACATGTTTGAGCCCAGCCTGGGCAACTCAGCATCTTGGTGAGATCCTGAATCAAAATAAAAGATACAGGCTGGGGATTTAGCTTAGCTCAGTGGTTTCGCTGCCTGCTGTGCAAGCGCAAGGACCAAAAAGAAAAAAAAAAAAGATATAAAGTGGCTGGAGATGCAGCTCAGTGCAAAGCGAGTAGGGAAATCATTGTCAAAACAGAAAACTGTACAACCATTCCTTGCCGAAGTCTTGCCATCTCTCTGAAATGCTACCAATCAGCCTCCTTGGTCTCTTCTTAATTTTGAGAGAATTTTTCTTTGTGCATCTATTATAGAAGTTTCTTCTAGCTTTCAACCCTGTGCTATCAGGACTCCTAGTACGTACAGAAGGGATTTCTATGGAAGAAAGAAATTTTTTTCTCTCCTATGTTATGTCTCAGGAATGATGTGGTCCAAGGGCTCAACAGCTGGAAAGAGAACTTGGTTGCTTTCCATTTCATTTGACCTCTTCTTATTTATATTGGAAGGGTCCTTGTGATAATTCTAAAAGCTCTAGACTCAAACACTTCTTACTGCTATCAGACGAGAAAAACATGAACTTTCTCTTCCATCATCTCCCCCAAAGCCTTTATGATCCTTGTTTTAGTTATTTTTTTTTTGTTGTTGCTAATTCAAAATATCTGACACCCAAAGTTAAAGGAGGAAACGTTTATTTAGCTTACAGTTTGTCAAGGCTTCAGTTCATAGTGATCTAGCTCCAAGTCAGGGTGGCGTAGCAGAGGGGAATCACAGAGGAGAAAAAGTTCATGGCAGGCAGAAGACAGAAGGCAGAAGACAGAAGGCAGAAGGCACCAAGCTGCATGCAACAAGTGACCAAACTAGTCTTCTTTCTGTCCCTTATATTTTTATTACTCGTACGTGGGGCTCTCTTAATTCTAGCCAGAACTATGCCAAACCACTTAGTGGACTAATTTACTAATCACACACCCTTGATTCCAGCATCATACCCTCTAGATCTAGCCACCTCTGAAAACTCTGAAAACCCACCTGTGACCACATGAGGCTTTGGGGAGACATTTAGACACAAACATAACGATCCTGATTAGGTTAGAAGCTCATTTTCCTACCAGTTTCTTAGCTTGGAGAATACAGTGTTTTGGTTAGCCGAATCTGAGTTAACATCAGTGCTCACTTCTACACCCTAGCACCACAGCTTGAAGTGGAATCAACTCTTCACAAACCTAATGGACTGAGAGTTGGGGGGTCCAGATAAAATGTGGTATGCTATTACTTGGAAAAGAATATAGAGACAGGTGGGAAAATAACAGACATCTGTGCCAAGTACATGAGTGGTGAGGATATGGTTTCACCATCATATCTGACATATATTGGATCCTCTTCAGAATTCCTATCTAATGTACTGATGGCAAAAATGCTTAACTTCATATAATGGAATAGGACTTTTGGAAATCAAGTCCGACAGGGAAAGTTGAACGTTCTGTGTTGAGGACTCCAGCTGTATGTAGAAGTTTTGGAAGATGAGAGCAATAACTAATCAGGTGCCTGTGTCTTGTCAAAATAATAGAACTAAATGCTCTGTGAAGGCAAGGATTGCATCTTATCCTGCTTGGTTTTACTCACAGGCTCTCACTTCACAAATAAAGCACATAAGAAATATTTAGTTATTGGGATCATTAAGGAATTGATGACACGAAATGAAAACTACAGCCCTATTCAGACTCGATTTGTAGTCTCAAAGATAGCAGCAAATAACAATTATTCCAAACATTGTCTGTAAAATGGGACTGATCAAATATTTGTGCTAGATTGTTGTGAAGCATACATATGATATGGAAGGACTTTGACATTGTCAACAATTCATAAATATGATTATTTTTATATTATCTTTTTATGGGGTCAGAGAGCTAGCCGGGGTCTTGTACATGCTAGGTGAGCACTCCATCCTCTACATCCCCAGTCCTTATGTTTTTAATCATAAGCACTTTTCCTGTTATCATACTTTATTCTTCTAACATATGTACAAGAAAAATACCACTTTAAAAATCTTCATTTTAAAAATGAAAAAGCAGGCTCAGAAAGTTTAAGCCACTTAGTAGGGTCATATGTAAGCCAGGATTTTCCTCCTGACTCCAAATTCCATGTCCCTAATTATGATTCTGTTCTGTCTTCCTATCCTTTAATATACTAACTGAGAAGATATAAGTTCATTCAAGTCTTGAATTCCTGTTTCTGTGTGGGTGGGTAAGGCAAGGCTCTGGGAATGTGAGAAGAAACCAAAGAATGCCTTTCCTTCTGTAATGTATTTATTTTTTCCCACATAGTGTGGTTCTGCAGAGACCCAACAGCAAGGCTTTGCTACTGAATGCAGGTGAATGTGCAACATTAGACCATTCACTTAGACCAGAGCCTCTGATAAAGCCTCTGGCCTCAACCATCTGGATGGGGAACTGCACGGTGCATCTCAAAGCTGTGACTGCAATAATGATGGTGATTACCAAGCCAGTTTTGTTTAGGCATGGGCAGTCAGAGGGGATTTTATTTAACAGTTAGAGAGATCATTTATACATTTCAGGCACTGTTGTAAGCATGTTACCCGTATTACCTCATTTAATCTTGTGAAGAATCCCTTGAGGTAGACCATCATCTGTGCTTTTATTGTGAATCCAAAATAAAGAGGCATTTACAGAGTGCTTACTCTGTTCTCTATGCTGTTCTAAGTTCCTCAGATATGCTGGGTTACCTTGTGTAGTCCTCTCAAACAACCCCACAAGGTAGATAATATTACCTTCATTGCCTGTTTTATAGGCAAGGAGACCAAAGAATGGCAAATGAAGAAACTTACCCCAGTGACACACAGTTGGTAACTGGTAGCTTTGGGTTTTGAACCCAAGCACTTTCAGTGGGTTCGGTCCTTGCTTCGTCAGCTCTCAGGCAGAAATGGCATGGTGAAAGAAAAAATGGCCTGGTAGAGAAAAGCTGCCCTTGTCATGGCAGCCAGGAAGCAGAGAGCCCAAGGGATAAGCCAGGGACAAGAATAAACCATTCCAGGTCATGACCTCAGTGACCTGCCTCTTTTGACCAGGTTCCACCTCCAAACAGCACATTCAGCTATGAACTCATCTCATTTTATGAGAGGTGTAGTAATCCTGTGACTCAGTCACCTTCCAAACACAGGAGACTTTGTGGGGGCATTTTAGATGATAAAGGTAGCTTTGCCTAATGTGAACATTACTGATGCTCAGCTTAAATTCACAGATGAATTATCTTGAAGAATTGGCTTATATAATTAGAAAAATAGGAAGCATTATAAGATGTTGACTTTGGACTTCAACAGATAGGAGCGACTTACTAGCTGTATGACCTTTTACAAATTGTTTTGCTTCTTTGAACCTCCATAAAACAGGGGTGATAATATGTGTACCTCATGGGGTGTAGGTAGCAAGAATTCAATGAGAACACCATATGAAGAATTCAGATAGTGCCTGGAATGAAGAAAGTGATCACAAGTAAATTAAAAAAATTTATAGGCAAATATTTTGCCATAATAGGATTTTCAAAGTTTAGGTATCCCATTAAACATGCCCCATTAACACCGTTTTTATCTTCTTTATTTTGTAATTAATAACTTGATTATGTTGTCTGATGAATGGTAGTCTCTTACTGAACTGTAAATGCCACCAAACTATAACTCCATTATTCTGTGAACTCTTTATGTGTATATTTATATGACCTAGTCTTGATGAAGTGGCTTTATTGGGTACCTGAGTATCAAGAGGGGCTATCTTGTATTCAGTCATAAACAAATCTTGGATATTTTAGAATTTAAAACATTTACTGAACAATTCTGGATATAGGAATATTGGTTTACAAAACCCAACTGGGTGTAGTGCATACTGCTTAGCATAGGGCTTAGCACTATTTTTATTAAAGAACAAAGAAAGAGAGAAGAATGAAGAAATAGCTGACCTCCTCCATGAAACTGAGAAGATATCCCCTCCAACTCTTGCCATCATAAACATTAAACAATTTTTTTATGGTGGCATTTTTAGCCCATTCTGAAATGTATTGATTTGTTTCCTGTGAGTCATTGTCTATTTCTTCTGTGTTAGAAAACATATTAAATATCCATGTGATGATATAAATATATATGTGTGGGTGGATGGAGAGTGAAGAGTTTTCTTTCAAAGACTAGGAAGGGAAATAGCTTTCTCATAGGTTCCCACATCATCAATCAAGTCATCACATCCTTAGTCTATTGCGTTTTCTCCCTTGAAACAAAATTGAATAATCCCTTCCGGTTTTAAAGCTTGAGAAAAAGAGTTTTAGAAAGTTGTAGAGCTGGCCCATTATTTGGGGTACTGTCCACTTTTTTTGTAGCAGGAAATCTGGGTTGAGAGAAGGCCGGCCGCTATTTCCACTGAGGGCAGTAGAGGGCAGACGTTGCCACTTTTGCCTACCCAAGATTTCAGGGCAACATTATGTTTATGCAAACAGCCTTTGACATAATAGCTTTGAAACAGCTGAAAATTGAATTGTGCCTTGAGGCCAAACATCTAGACCCACCACCTTTGTTATATTCATCTGCCACAGTAAATTGGGTTCACCATTGGCTCTGGGAGCTGCTTTTTCCTAGATTCTACCTCCACAATAACTTTTCGTAGGAGAAAGACAAATGTTGCTTCCTCACAGGAATGCTTGGCAAGGTTTCATTTCAGACTCTTATCTGAGGAGAAAGAGATTGTTGTGTGGATTTCTCCAGCCAACTGAAGAAAATAAAATAAAAGGAAAGTGGAGACCTAAACCAAATCCATCTAATTCTGGAATCTCTCTGTGGGTATCCATAGCTTTTTTGCTTCTCCGCTTAATCTAATTAGGACTTCGCCTCCCGAAATAAATACCTAATAAAGAATGAACCTATTAAAAGACTAAATTTACTACACACCCGTTTGTGTGAACCCTCTGCGTGTTTTCTTGAAGCAGTAATGCCGATGAAATTGAACATTGTTTGACTGGATAATGGTCTCCCGCTGTAAGACAGATTATAGAAAATAAACGTCGGGGGGCGGGGGGCGGGGGGAGCCGGCTGCTTTATTGAATTCCATCGATGATAATGCCATCACCTGAAATAGCTGCCTGAAAAGGGTATAAAAGGGAGAGAAACAGCAGCATCCAGAGCCAATTTGCAACTGGGGAATAGTTCATTTTCTTGGAAGTAATTTTATTCTGCGTTGGGTTCACTGCCCTGGTTTGGGGGCTGACAGAAAGTAGATTTTTAAAAGAGAAATCTGTTTGTGGGAATTGCAGGTGCTTTATATAGGAGGGCATATAGGCATTGACTAACTGGATCATTTGTTTATCAAATATTTCCTAAGACTATTTAGGAAGTATGTTAGGTACTTTTTAGAAGCTGGGATATGTTAATGAGCAAAACAGGTGTGCCATTACTCTCATGGAACTTGAAATCTAGTGAATGAGGTAGAATTCATTCATTAGCAAATATTTATTAAGTCCCTACTTTTGATCAGGTACATAACCATAGAATAACTAAAATTATAATCTGTATGAATAATAGGAAGGCAAAGTAGGAAGGTTGCTAGACCAGCATGTATGCCATTTCTTTGAAGAATAGTTTTTTTTGTTTTGTTTTGCTTTTTTGGTACTGGGGATTAAACTCAGGACAGCTTGGGAGGTGAGCGCGGCACCACTGAGCTAAATCCCTGGGTCAAGAATAGTTTTAAGAAAAATCAAGTAACATCAAAAGGACACTCAGTTCAGTATGGAGTTTAGCAGATTATAGCATTTACAGTAGGGCTCTTTTCTGGCAGAAGAAGAAATTCCAAGACTCTCAATGGGTGTTTGAAATTATGGAGAGCCCTGAACCCTATATACACTATTTTTACCATACATATATATCTATCATAAAATTTAATTTAGAAACTAGAGACAGTAAGAGATTTACAACAATAACCAATGATAAAATAGAACAATTATAACAATATACTTAATAAAAGTTATGTGAATGTAGTCTTTCTTAAAAAGACAGATAATAGGAAACAAAGAGATAGATCTTTTGCAAAAAAGGGAGGATGACAAATGGAGGAGGAAGGGAGTGGAGGAAAGGGAAGAAAAAAGAATTGAGTTGTGTTATGTACATGTGCCAACTCTCCATGATGAATATAATCATTATGTACTACAAACACACTAATAAAAATTTAAAAATCTTCTTGTATTTTTACCTGTTTCTTAAAGGAAACACTTTACAGTTCCTCAATGGCAAATCCAAATTGCCAGCATCACTACTCTTGTGCTTTGGAGCTGTTTTAAAGTAAAATAAGGATTGCTTGAATACAAGGACTGTGATACCACAGCAGTCTATCTGATGACTAACATAGCTAATAAGTGACTAAAGGGTGAACAGCATATATGGCATGAATATGCTAGACAAAAGGCTAATTCACATTTCAGGTAAGACAGAATTACAGTGTGAGATTTCATCATGCTACTCAGAATGTAGGTACACAATTTAAAATCTCTAAATTATTTGTGGAAATTTCCATTTAATATTTTCTGACTGTGGTTGAATGCAGGTAACTGAAGGCATAGAAAGTGAAATCTGGGATAAGGGAGGATTTCTGTAGTAATATGCTGGTGAGTTCGCTCAGTGGGCTCAAGTCTAGGCGTCAGATTTTTCTGGGACATGGTTTTCTTTTTTTAGGATAGAAGTCTGGTTCCAATTTGTCTAATAGGATAGATGTTTGAGTAAAATGAGAGAACATGCACTATAGTACCTTGTAGCAGATGAAAATAGGGATTCTTAGTATGGGATCATGGTTTTCCAGGGCTTACTCACAAGGATCTTGATAGACAAGTCTTCTTGATAAACAAGAGGAATATAAGTTGATCAACAGTGAGCAATTTAGTTTTTGGACAAGTAATAAAGTATATGGCACAGCTGATGTAATATGTTGAATGAGTTCAGGGAGAAGAAGGTAGGGCCTGAAGACTGGATGGGGTTTAGAAAGAGAAAAGAAGGACTCCAAGGCTGGTGGCCACACTGCCAGTTGACTCCATTGGCGACTGGAACCTTTTAGAAGTGAGGCCAGGGGATGTTCTGGTGGGTGCAGCTCAGGTTCGTGATGGTATCCTTCATTGTAAGGTTGGTATTTTACAACCTGCCTTTCAAAGTCATTTGTGCGGTTAAGACCTGATAGGAAATGAGGGGACTATTCATTGTACTGAAAGGACGATGATGAAAACCAAGGCTTCTTGAATTTGTATAATGTAGGGATACTTTTGAAAGGAAAAAAATTCTCTCAGTTTCAGAGAAGAGAGTTTCCTCTTACTTAAACTTTGCAGGTTGTCACTGCTAAGGATAAGATCTGATCTTAGAGCAGCTAGATATTTTTTCCTTTATAATTACCATTGAAATGAAAACACAATTAAAAATGTCATTGAAACTCTCAGGCTCTGAAGAAATATGGAGTCCTCAAGACAAAGAGGGGCCTCAGTGAGAGGAACACTACCTCAAGTGAAGGAAAGTTTATCAGTGTGATTTTAGAGTGCTGTTTTAGATCCTCTAAGGAAACATTTTGGGCATTTCCTTGCCCTTTAAATTAAGCACTGCAGGATTAAGCACTTTCAGGGTCCTCACTCACCTTTCCCATTTCTTCAGTACGTCTTTTCAAACAAGTAAGAGTCAAACTGCCCCTGATGAGCCCTCACCCTATGTTCATGTGATGACTCCTATACAAGCATGACCTTAGCTTCTGTTGCAAGGTACTGTGACTGTCCTTACTGGCAGTTCCATAAGCCAACTTTACACTTTGCTGAAAGATCACTATCCCTGTTTAGAAGGCTACTGTGCTGCCTCAGAGGGTTACCATCATCATCTGCCTCGGCATTAACATCTTCCCTAGCCTCATGGAGGAATCAGGCAAGAAGTAGCGAAGTGGCGAAGTAGCCATTTTGAGAAAATTAGATTCTGAGCATGGATTCTCTAAGCTCTAGAGAGCATCTTTATCTTTGA